AGGTAGGAGTTGTTAACCTGAGGTCTATGAACTTTTTTTTTTTTTGGTAATATTTTGACTATTATTTCAATATAGTTTATTTCCATTGTAATCCTATGAGTATTATTTTATGCATTTCTTCTAAAAAATATCATTCTGAGAAGGCATCCATCGGTTTCACCAGACCAAGAAAGGGTCCATAATACAAAAAAGGTTAAGAATCCTTGGGACGAAGATCATTGACTTTCATTTATCATACTTGGTGCTCTCTCAGTGCTTTGCATTCATTATTCTCCTCTTTATATTCTCTCTGTTTATTGTTAATTCACCAAAGAGCTGCTGAGGCTTTGCCTCTTGGTTGAGAAAGACTCCAACCTGCCCTGCCCCACCCCATCACTCATTCTTTTTGCTTTAATGTCTGGACTCCCATATTCTTTACAACTGGAATTTTTAGGATGAGTCATCTCAGAGATCACCCGCTGACTTCCTTCGAAATCCAAATAGCTCAATGTTTATCTAAGAGTGAAGGGAAATTGGAGTGGTTCCCACCCAGGTGTGGGTGGAGTCCCTCTTTCTCAGATCCTCCTTTTGGGCATCCTCTTGGGTGTGACTTCTTCCTTTAGTCCCTCCACCCCTCTGTGAGAGAGATAGGGCCACTTAACTGGCTTTGGTTGGGGAAAATAGAGAGGAAAAAACAAACTAGCTAGGTGGCTAGTAGATGGAATACTGGGCCTAGAGAGAAGAAGACCTGAGTTCAAACCCAGGGTGGTTGTAAGGATCAAATAAGATAATAACTATAAAGCACTTTTTAGCTATTATTATTAAACTAGCTCAAGGCCACTCCCTTGGAGGGGCTTTTTTCTTTCTTGTATTTACCAAAAGCTCCTACCAAAACTCATTTTATCCAGGGGAATCTGGGACTGTTCTGTTTCATTTAATCTTTTCTCAGCTCTGGAAATTAATAAAATCTCTTTGGTTGCTCTCAAGCCCCCAAAATGATATTTCTGACAACAAGAAGGATAGCAATCCATTTCTTTCTATGTCCTTGGGTGATCATCACCTTCTCCCATTGCATTTAATTCTACCCCATGTATACATAAACCAATACAGTATTAAAAAAAATAACAACCACATGGTCTTATTAAAAAAAAAGTCCCTTTTGAAAACAAAAGCAGACAAAGCAAAAAAATCCAGAAAGCAAACATCTTAGAGAAATGGGGAATGGGACATAAGTTCAGCAGAGAGCCAGGGCGATGGAAGGCATAAGGAGTGTCTGAGTTTCACACATTTAGCTCCCACCATCACCTACCCATATTGTACAAGGCTTCTGTGTAATCCTGCATTATTCAGCCGCATTTTTTTCCCCCAGAGTCTTACGTCTTGTTAGGGCAATAATAGAAATAATAAATAATAGCTGTGGTTCTAAGCACTAATGCAGCATGCTGGACTCCCTCTTTTTCCAGTTCTCCCCAATCATGGGATGCCCACACTCAAAGAACTTCCCAGTAGCTAAGAGCACAGTAGAGTTGAGAAAGCCTGAATTCAAATCCTGGCTTAGATACCAGTTAGGTGACCCAGGTAAAGTCACTTCAACTTCATTTTCCTTGACTGTAAAATGAGCATGATAAGAATTTCTATTTCACAGGGTTGTTTTATGTACCAAATGAAATAACATCTACAATGCATTGCAAAATTTAAACTGCTTCATGAATGTTCTTTTATTCTCATTTCAATTCTCTCTCTCTCTCTTTTTTTTTTTTTTTTTTGTAGGCAGTTGGGGTTAAGTGACTTGCCCAGGGTCACACAGCTAGTAAGTGTCAAGTGTTTGATCTGAGGCCGGATTTGAACTCAGGTCTATCCTGACTTCAAGGCTCGTACTCTATCCACTGCACCACCTAGCTGCCCCCCACCTGCCTTATATTGATGCTACCTTCCCAACTCCCCTTCCTTTTTGGCCCTCCAGTGTGTCTTTTTTTTTTCTGTTTACTATCTTTGCTTCTGAGTCAGAGAGAGGACAAGCCGCTTTACCACTTTTTCAATCTTAGCTTCCTTCTCTGTAAAATGGGGGTAACAGTAGTACCCATCTCATATGGTTGTCAAGAAGATCAAATGAGATAATACATATGAAGTGTTTTACAAAACTTAAAGTGCGAAATGGTTTCAGCTGTTATACTTTTCCTATAGCTCAGTGCCTGGCACAGAGTAAATGCTTAATAAATGTTCATTTATTGATTGAGTGATTGCTGCTCTGACTCCGTTGTTTCCTGTACTCTCTAATTTTCCAGTCCTGATTCCCCAACCCCTCAATGTGCTATTACCTACAACCTCGCCAAACCCCCGGCGTTGTTTAAGTAGCTGATATAGCAATATGCATGCAAGGATAAATAACCAAAGGACAGGTTCTGAAAGTTTAAAAAAAATAGCTTCTGTATATTGCCCAACACACTTCAGTTCCTGTCTTTACTCAGACCACCATAAGCTGTCTAGAAAACTAAAGGTGCCTAATTTATAACTTTCAGTGCTGCCGTTTGAAGTGAAGTGTTCACAGAAGGACAAAACCACATCCTCCTCTTGCATGATACTGTTAAGGTCTTGTTCTATACTGTACTGGGGTATTTTTTCCCTTGCATTTTGTAGCATAAGAGGAAGAAGGGAAGGTTGGAGGTGGTTGAGCTGAACCAGTAAATCTCCCACTAAGTTATCCCAAATTACAGGAGACCTTTTTGAAAACTAACCAAGCATCTGTGCCCTCTGCCTTACAGGCAGGAAACCACATCTCCCATCTGTACTTCACAACTAGTCTCAGGAAATCACAACTCACATCTGTACTTCTTTGGAAATGAAAGCATTGAAGCTTGGGGGTTTTGTTTTTTGAGAGAGAGCTATGAATGAATCTTAAGCAGAGGATTTCTCAATTGGCACAAAATGTTGTAGAAGATTCAGTGGCTGAACACAGAATCCATTGGTTGAAAAAACATTATCCATCTGGAAGGAAGGAAATAAACATTTATTAAGTGCCTATTATGTGCCCGGCCCTTCGCAAATATAATCTCATTTGATCCTCACGCTAATCCTGGAAGGTAGGTACTGTTATTATACCCATTTTATAGATGAGCAGACCAAGGTGAAGTGACTTACCTAGGGTCACACAGCTATTCAGGGTCTGAGGTCAAATTTGAAGACAGATATTCCTGACTCCAGGCCCAGTGCTCTATCCACTGAGTCACTCATTTGCCTTACCTTCTAACCCAAAGTTTCTGCCACCAAAGCATATAACCCAAGGAGATCAATGAGAAAGACGAAGGCCCCATAGATACCCAAATATTTTTAATAGTGTTTTATATAATCAAAGTTGATGCCCATCTATTGGGGAATGGTCAAAGAAGTCGTAGTACGTGAATGTATCGCTGTATTACCATGCTGTAAGAAACTTGACAAATAAGGCAAAGCTCGTGAAGAAAAAGCAATTGAAATTCAATGTTATGAAATTATAATGACCAATCTTAACTCCAAAGAAGAGTCATGAGAAGACACCTCCCATCTCCTACCTTCTTTGCAAAAGTGAGGTACTAGGGTGTGGAACACTGCATAGAATGTCCAACTTTGTTATAGGCTGGGTAGATTTGACGAATTATAAAATTAATAAGTGAAGGGGACTGTCATCAGGACCTAAGAGTAGGTCTTGAGTGTCTGTTGATCGAGATAGAGAAGATGATCCCACTTTTGCTGCCCCACAGCCCTGGAAGTGGATTTGGCCCTGTATAGTGTGGGTCTTAGGGGACAGATCTTTCGCAGCATTGCAGGATTGTTTTCCTAGGTGGGGAAAGAATTGAAAGTCAAATTGTTAAAAAGCAAGTTTGCAAGTATAGACTTGTTTTCTTCTCTCCAGGACTGTACTTGGTGAATTTCCTCCCACATAACACAAAGCAAATAAAGCTCAGTGAGGGTGAGCAAAATGTAAGACCGAATGCAGTACTGTGCTCCTAGTGGGTACTCAGTCAATGTTTTCTCGAGATAATGACATATTATGTTCCCTTTACATATGAATATCCACAAACAGAGCCAGAACCTAGGATTCTGCCAAGGGAATATCCATGTCATTTTTAGCAGTCGCCTAAATATTTAGTTATAAGAGTTAATATAGCTTATAATAGTTAATCTAGAGCTTACTCTGTGCCAGGCACTGTACTAAGTGCTTTACAATTATTATCTCCTTTGATCCTCACAATGACCCTGGAAAGTAAGTGCTATTATTATCCCCATTTTACAGATGAGGGAACTGAGGCAGACAGAGGTTAAAAATGACTTGCCCACTGTCCCACAGCTAGCATCTGGGGGCTGGATTTGAACTCAGGGCTTCCTGACCCCAGGCCCAGCACCCTGTCCACTGTACCACCTCATTACCCACCAGGACTGAGAATTTTAGATGCTCAGACCCTGTGGGCTTCTCTTTTGTTTATAGGGCATTAAAAAGAGTCTTATTGACAACATATAGATAACTTAAAATCTGTAAATTGCCTGCCTCCAGTGGTGCTTGACATCATTGTATGAGATGCCATTGTGATCAGGGCATAACTAACATGGAGTGATTTGGTACATAAACTCCATCTTACTCCAACAGCCTAGCTAGATATACCAGAACCACCTCCATGCTGCCATCTTCAGCATCCTGATAACAGGATGCTAAATATGTGTGCCTGGCTTCCACCTTCTCCCCCAACCCAGACTGTCTGGAGGAGGATCGACCTCCTCTCCTGGCATGACTGTACCCACAGTCAGACTGTGCTCTGCACCACACTCCCCACCCCAAATTGCTCTGCCCCCAGTACAATTATTTTTAGCTAAGGCTCTGATTATAATAGTGTCTTTTCCGCATTTTAATTTCATACTTCTTGAGATATTCTCTCTTGGAAAACAAGTTTCTGATGAAATGGCCAATGGCTGGTTTCCACCGTGCATATATAGAGTTATTAGTATTTATTTATTGCACTTCTAAATCACAATTTTTACCTTTTTTTTAGGATCCTAAACATTTTAAATCAGAGAAAACAGGGAGAGGACATTTAAGGGAAGGCTGGAGAGATAGTCACCAACCCATCATGTGCTCCTACAAATTGGTGACTGTGAAATTCGAAGTCTGGGGACTTCAGACCAGAGTAGAACAATTTGTACACAAGGTGAGTGAAAACCATGCTATGGATTTAAGCACGAACCAAGGAAAGCCACCGTATTACTTAAGATCTGGCCAGGGTGGAAAGATGTATGTGCAAAAGTATGAACTAACCCTACAAGGCAAATTGATTATGAAATCACATAGTACCCCTTTCATAAAACACTTCCAATATTAACACATGGGCAGCTAGGTGGCACAGTGGGTAGATCGCGGAGCCAGGAGTCAGGAAGACCTGAGTTCAAATGCGGCTTTAGATAATAGCTATGTGACCCTGGGCCAATCACTTAACTGCATTTGCCTTAGTTTCCTCATCTGTAAAATGAGCTAGAGAAGGAAATGGCAAAGCACTCAAGTATCTCCGTCAGGAAAACCCCAAATGGGTTCACGAAGAATCGGACATGACTAAACAAAAACAAATGTGCCAGGAACTGTGCCAAGCACTGAAGATACCAAAAGAGTCTAAGGACAGTCCCTTTCCTTAAGGAACTCACAGTCTAATAAAGGAGACAATATGTGAACAACTATGTACATGCAAATTATAAATGGGATAAATTGGAAGTAATCAACCATCTAACTAATATATTGCTAAAGACCAGTTGTTTAGCTTTTTTTGTTTGTTTTGTTTTGGGGTGGTTTTTTTTTGGGAGGGAATTGGGGTTAAGTGACTTGCCCAGGGTCACATAACTAGGCAGAATTTAGACTCAGGTCCTCCTGAATTCAGAGCCGATACTCTGTCTATTGCGCCATCTAGGTGCCCCAAGTTGCTTAGCTTTAGGAATAGGCATGTGGGGGCAGTTAGGTGACACCATGGATATAGCACTGGCCCTTGAGTCAGGAGGACCCTGAGTTCAAATCCAGTCTCAGCCCAGACACTTGAAATTACTGGCTGTGTGACCCTGGGCAAGTCACTTAACCACAATTGCCTCATCCATAAAAAGAAAAGAAAGAAAGAAAAAAAAAGAATAGGCATGTGGCCCTGGTCTGTATAGGAAAAGCGAAAAATGCATCCCTTACTTCCATTTTTTCCCCAATATAGTTAGCCTATACATTATTTGGGATTGCAAGAGAGGCTACAGATCTTTTCTTTTATCTGTAACACAGGATAAAGAACTGAAATACTGACTTGGGGATCCAGAATCTAAATACTTGATTTTTGCAGAATTCTTAACCAAGTCAGATGATATATGTAAGGCGTTTGCATCACAGCTAGTATGGTACAGTGGCTAGAGAGCAGGCCTTGACCCCAGGAAAACCTTGGTTCCAGTCCTGACTCTGAGATACACTGGCCATAGGACCCTGGGACAAGCCTTAAAAACCTCATTGCTCTTCCAGAGGTCTCAAACTCAAGGCCCTTTAACTAGGAAATGTCATGTTGTAGACGGTGCCGACCTGCATTAGTGGAGAGAGTTTCCTCACTTGGGAGTTCCCTTTAACCAATATAATCACAGGTCTACCCCCTGTCCTTTGTCTCTATGTAAAGAACTTTGCAAGTCTCAAAATGCTATAAATGTTACACATGTTAGCTATTCTTATTAGCACTTAAAAAGTGGTGCTAGAATTGAATGCCCAAGGAACAGTCTCCATCTGCCTCCACAGTTCTCACTCTTGGAAAATTTGGTATCATAAATAGTAACTAAGTGTGGACTGAATTTGAAAACTCTTAATGTTTTAATTAATGAATAAGTATTATTGATGAAGTTGTTGTTCAGTTGTTTCAGTCGTGTCTGACTCTTGACCCCATTTGGGATTTTCTTGGCGTAGATACTGGAGCGGTTTGCCATTTCCTTCTCCAGCTCATTTTACAAATGAGGAAACTGAGGCAAAAAAGCATTAAGTGGCTTACCCAGGATCACAGAGCTAGTAAGTTATTTCAAGCTGAATTTGGATTCAGATCTTCCTTTTTCCAGGCCCAGGCCTCTAATCTCTGCACCATGTAAATGCCATCAATGAATAAATATTCCAGGCTTTATTCTGGAACCAGCTCCTTGACCACTGCAGAGCCTATAATGGTTAGTGTGGTGTGGAACATGTGGAGATAAAGGTCTAACTCCCATTCTGCCACTAGTCATTCAGCATTAATGTAGTCAATCAGTAAACATTTATTAAGCATCTCCTATATGCCACACACTGTTTTGAGTGCTTGGGATACAAAGAAAGGTAAAAGACAGTCCCTGCCCTCAAGGAGCTTACAATCTGATAGGGGAGACAACATGCAAACAACAATGTACAAATAAGATATATACAGGAGAAATTGGAAATAATCAACAGAAGGGAGGCCCTGTCATGAAGGGGGATCAGGAGAGGCTTCTTGTAGGAGGTAGGATTTTACTCGGGCCTTGAAGCAAGCCAGGAAAGCCAACATGGGGGACAACCAAGGCAAAAAACCTGGAATCGGGAGATGGAATGTCTCATTTGAGGACCAGCAAGAAGGCCAGTGTTACTGAATGGAAGAGTACATTTCAGGGGATTACTTTCAGAGTTAAAAATTCCGCTTTCCAACTCAGGTTTAGATCTCTTCTGACATCATTCCCAAGACATCTCTTCTGGGAATCCCCGGAGTCCACTGCCACCTTCCTTCCCTCAGGCCACTGCCATTAGGGAATAGTATCATTCCCTCTCCTGAAGCATTACTAATGATGAGGTAGCCCCAACACTTGCCCAGTAATTTTCCCATGGGTGACTCAGGCTAATCTTGAGAATTTCATCCTCATCTTTAAAATACCTGCTAGCATTGTACAGGATTATGAATTTTCCCTGGTGCCCATTTCTAAATAGAATAAAGTGTTCTCAAAGCTCAAAAAACACACCTGCTGTGGCATCGAAGGGACTAATTAGTATCTAGGGATGGCATTTCTGTGGGTTTAAAATTCCAAGGATGCCTCTCTTTGAACACCTTTGTTTCTTAAGGATCCCTTCACACTCAGAAAAACCATTAAAATGTGAATTCTTGAAGCATTATTGAATCCTGGTTTCCGACAGGCAGCTGTGTTGTGCCTAATGTAATGGGTGTATTTCCCGATGCCGTGGTTGCTTTTTATTTGAATCTTACCAGTTTCACATACTCAGCACTCAAGTGTCTATTGTTGCATGTTGCTGCTCATTTTCATTACATGTGTTTTCCTCCTTCTGTGTCATAGAAGCCTCTTTAGCTACTCAGATGCCCTGAGTAATAAACACTTCATTATAAGTACTTTTCCTGCTTCACAAAACCCCACAAAATTCAAATCTATCATTTACTGAAACATGCATGAAATGAGAGGTTTTGTCAGTTGCTAAGTGGGTTTGGCAGGACTGAGGGAATATTAAGACACACTGTCATGGAAACATACAGGTACACACACATGCACGTACAATAAACAAGTGTGCCATAAATGCATACATGTACAGGTGTACTATATGAACAAGTCAGTCAATAAAAATTTATTAAGCACTTACTTTGTGCCAGGCACTGTGCTAAGCAAAGAATATTTATTTTAATGCTTCACAGAGCCCAGAAATTTATATATTTTTAAATATATAAATGTAAAACTACTTCCTCCAGAATTGCAGATTGCAACCTATCCATGCCATCTCTTCTGGTGCAACAATTGTCTGTATCCTCCTCTAAATCCTCAACAGGGCTTCCAGCCATCATCAATCTATGTATACTTCTTGTTGCAGCCTACTCAGAGTGGGTATGATTAGCCTGCAACACAAAGGATATGGTTCTAGTTATATAAGATAACTATATAAGAAGCATATATAAGAATATAAATATTATATATATTTATAAGAAATATAATATTTCTCTCTTTAAAATCTGCTACCATCAAATCTCTTTCATGACAAACCATGGGTTACTTCTTCTTTCTTTATCTATAAGTCAAGCCAAGTCATCAAGCATTTATCATGTACCTACTATGTGCCAGGAAATATGCTCAGTCCAGTTCAGTAGGCAGTTATTAAGTGCCTACTATGGGTCAGGCATTGTGTTAAGCACTGGACGTCTTTTCCAGCTCTTTGGAAGAAAAAAGTCAAACCATGAGGGTATTTGTGTCAGAATTTTATTCCTGTGTCCTCAGCATATTTTTTAAATGTAGTTTACTCAATAAATGCAATTTGAAATGTAAACAAGATTTGGAAGTTATTTGAAGAAAAGAGAGTTAAGTTCAGTAAGGTAGAAAGTCGGTCAACACAAATTTATTTTTTAACAAGTCTTTTTTCATATGCTTTTGGGTTTTTTTGTGAGACAGTTGGGGTTAAGTGACTTACCCAGGGTCACCCAGCTAGTAAGTGTCAATTGTCTGAGGCCAGATTTGAACTCAGGTCCTCCTAACTCTAGGTCGGGTGCTCTATCCACTGCACCACCTAGCTGCCCCTACACAAATTTATTAATCACCTACTATGTGCCAGGCACTGTACTAAGTACTGGGTTATGAGAAAAGACAAAAACAGCCTCTGCCCTTTAGGAGCTCACATTTTAATGGAGGAGACTGCATGCAAATAACTATGTGCAAACAAGATACATACAAACTGCAGGTGATTTCACAGGGAAGGTACTAGCATTAAGGGGGACGAGGAAAGGCTTCCCACACAAACTCAAGATTTGGAATATAATATAATGTAAAATAATAACATAATATGATATGATATAACAATAATGGTTTATGTTTTTATAGTGCTTTAAGGTCTATAAAGCATTCTGCCTACATCATCCCATTTGATCCTCAAAACAACCCTGTAAAGTATGTTGTTATTATCCTTAGTTTACCAACTCACAGGGCCCTTGTGAGGATCAAGTAAGATCAAATGCATACAAAACACCTTCTAATTACTACATAAATGTCGGCTGTTATCATTAAAGAACATAATGGCTCTTAGCCTGTACTCCAGTGTGCACATGACTGAGTTCTTTTCCAACAATCATACCTTAGCCTTCTTGGGATAATGAGAAACTCCACCTTGACTCAGTAAGTGAAAAGCATCCACCGTTTTCATTGAAGATAAGTGAGGACAGACTTCCACAGGTAACTAATGTCAAAGCTAATTGCCCTGCTGAATTCGCACCAAGGGCCTTGTCATTAGTACATCCCATTTAAGACCCAAACATATGTACACAGCGAAAATGACCCCATGATTCTCAGATACACTGCTATACTTTTTTTTTAATTGCCATTACCTTTTTCATAAATAATAATGATGGCAATTGTATATAGTGAGAGGGACTAAGAAACCTGTTTTCCCCAGGAAACCAGTTTAATTCTTATGAGATTTTGTGACAAGGAGTTTTGCTTCCACTTTTCAGGTGGTCCGAGATATCCTGCTGATTGGGCACAGACAGGCTTTTGCATGGGTTGACGAGTGGTATGGTAAGTCAGTCCATTTCCCTTAAGCAACTTAGAGAACATCCTAAAACTTTGATATCTTTCTGGTTCTGTTTCAGTCCATCTGATTTCCACTGTTGCCTGGATGTTAGGAGAAAAAAAAAATTCAGGAGTACTGTTTCCTGTCTTGAAAAGAGTGTGGTCCAAGTGAGCATGTTAATGAAAGATGTAATTATGAACTATGGTCTAGGCAGAGAATAACTTTAGAATCACTGACTTCTGACTAAGTAGGATCACAGGAAATCCTATTCCTGTCTGTTTCACAAGGAATGACCCATGCCGACTTCCTGTATGTAGATTTCAAACTTCTTCTCTTGCTATATTCCTAGAAGGAAGGGTTTATTCTAAATAGGAGTTGTTTTTTAGGAGTTGCAAATATTTTATCAAATAAGAGTGCTTAAAATTATCTATGATTAGAAACTAGAGGACAATAATAATAATGGCCTACCATTTAGATAGCACATCAAGGACTGAAAAGAGCTTTGTACGTTATCTTATTTGATTTTCTTCTCATAAACATGAAGATTTTACAAAGGCTTTGGGTAAAGAAGCGACCTTCAAGGGTATACACAAATAACAAACAAGGTTATTTAGAAAGCTTGGGAGTTAGGAGTTTGTTTTTCGTTGGTTGGTTGCTTTATTCACATAATTTAGGAAAAGTCAAATCAGTTTTATCTGTTACTAGTAAACGATTAGACTTTATTATTTCATCACTTGGTTGATAGACCATCTCACTCCACAATATCACACTTGTCATTCCTCTAAGAGGGAGAGCCCAATATAATAGAATGAGCACTGGTGTTAGAGCCCAAAGTTGTGAGTTCAAGTGTCAGCCCAGGCTCTTAGTATCTCTTTGGCCACAAACAAACTCATTTCATTCTCTGAGCCTTCATTTCTTTGTTTGCAAAGTGGGGGTGATAATGCTAACACTAACTTCTTCATAATGGAGTGGAGGTGATGCTGGGTTTTTCTTTGAAAGTTAATAATAACTAGCATTTATATAGCACTTTTTAGGTTTACAAAGCGCTTTTCTCACTTGAATCCTCACAACAACCGTGGGAGGAAGGTGCTGTTGTGATCCCTATTTCACTGAGGGTGATAGAAATTCAATGACCTGCCCAGGGTTACACAGCTAGTAAATGTCTGATGCCAGATTTGAACTCCGGTCTTCCTGACTCCAGGTCCAGTGCTCTATCCATTGGGCTACCTGGCTGCCTTTAGGCCAGTGGGTTGGAAGCTCTGGTAGTTTCCAACAAAATGGAAGTTTTCAGTAAAGATCTAGGGATAGACTCTATGCCTAATGTCCCAGGACAAGCATAACTAATTTTGGAGAGGCATATTATCAGGTTGGCCATAGAGTGGTAAATGATAAGCTATTAAATCTTTCAGAGACCCTCTCCTGGGAGCAGCTAGGTGGTGCAGTGGGTAGAGCACCAGCCCTGAATTCAGGAGGACCTGAGTTCAAATGCGGCCTCAGACACATAACACTTACTAACTGTGTGACCCTGGGCAAGTCACTTAACCCCCATTGCCCAACCAAAAAAAAACAAACAGAGACCCTCTCCTAAGGTATAGAGGAATTCTTGTTCTTCTTGGCAGAGGGAGACGCCACACAAATGAAGTTACATATCCCTAAAGTCTTCAAGTACCAGCCTCATAGGGTTGTGAGAAAGCCTTCTGTAAATGGTACAGTGCTATGTAAATGACCTGAAAAAAGGCCATCAGTGTTCAGATAGTATTCCCATTTGTAAATAGGAATAAATGCATTCTATTAGTAGTTTGGGTTAGATCTCAATTTCTTAGAATCTTACGATCAAAAATTTAGAGCAAGAAGGGACTTTGCAAGTCATCTGGTTCAATTCATTCCTTTTGTTGATAAGGAAACTGAAGCCCAAAGGTTGATTTCTTAATGAAATATAGACAGCTGTGTGGTGCAGTGGATGAAGCTCTGAGATCAGAGGCAGGAAGATGTGAGTTCAAATCCTGTCTCAGACATTGACTAGCTCTGTGAACTTTGACAAGATGCTTACCCTCTCTTAGCTTCAGTTTTCTCCCTCTTTCTATCCTTTATTTAAGAAAGGATGTTAGATTTAAAATGAAGGGATAGACCAGATTAAATGGTCAGAGATGGTCAACAGTCCCAAACATAGCCATTGCTTTGAGTCATTTCAAAGCAGTTGTACCTCCATAAACAGTCCCAGTTCAGATTCTGCTGCAGAGTGGAGTCATCTCCCTGATTTGCCCAGATGTGTAAAACATTTGAAGAGATCTCTCTTAAAGATCTGTATTTGCTGTTCCCTCTTTTTGTTTTGTATTTACTTACCACTGGGGCCTAGACCACCAACATATAACACTGCTGAGATTTTGAGACAACCAAAATGTGGCTACCCTGTACTTCATAAAGAGATATTTTTTCACACACCTAGGCCAAGGGATAGGCTAAGGATTGTTTTCAGTGATGCTTCTTCTGGTTTCTGACATAAATCTTTATATACTTAAGTCTGGGCTGCTTTCAAGGTCTAGGGCCAGAACAGAAAGTCCTTCCCACGAGCTGTCCGAACTTTGCCCTGAAACATACCTCTAAATACATCATTTGCTTACCACCAGTCTTCTGATCTAAGAGATCATAGGCTCCAATTGATGGTTTGGCAATAACAAGAAAGAAATTAAACAACCCAAAATAGGATACTTTGAAGATTAGGAGATTGCCCAGGTTGATAGATTTCTTCACAATGCCAGGATTTTAAAGGGAGAACCTTTCAATAAACATCAGAATTGGTAATCAGGAAAACTACTCCAAATCCATTGTTAAGGTTCTTGTAAATAGGATTTTTATAAGGACCTTCTGAGATAATGTATGTAAAGGGCTTTGCGAGCTTTCAGGTATTAAACTGTCTTACTATTTACAGCTTAGGTGGCACATTCAATAGAGCCCTGGCCTTGGAGTCAGGAAGACCTGAGTTTAAATCTGGTTTCAGGCACATACTAGATGTGTGACCCTGAGAAAGTCACTTAACCGCTCTCAGCCTCAGTTTCCTCATCTGTAAAATGGGGATAATAATAGCACCTACCTTCCAGGGTTGTTCTGAAGATCAAATTTAAAGTGTAAAGTGATTTGCAAACCCTAAAGCACTGTATAAATGCTAGCTATTATTGTTGTTGTTTACAAGAGGCAAGTTGTGAAAAGAACTTAGAGGAAACCATGAAGGACTATTACACAGAGAATGAGAAATGCCTGTTCTTCATCAATCAATCAACAGGTATTTATTATGAACCTACTGTATTAGTCAATAAGTAAAGGCAAATGTGAAACAGTTTCTGCCCCCAGGGAATTTACATTCTAATAGAGAAGACAGCCTGTGTGTGTGTGTGTGTGTGTGTGTGTGTGTGTGTGTGTGTGTGTGTGTGTGTGCTGCGTGCGTAAACGCACACACATACACACACACAACAGCACATACAACACTGATACAAGGTGACCTTGGAGGGGAAGGCACTAGAACAAGGGTGGGGAACCTATACTAGAAGCTTGGGGTTGGGGTGTGGGTGAGGGACCAGGAAAACCCTCCCACAGAAGATAGCACTTCAGTTGAGTCTTGAAGGAAACCAGAGAGTCTAAGAGGTGAAGAGAGTGAACATTCCAGGCTGGGGTGGGGGTAGGGGGTGGGAGAGAAAACATTCATATAAATATTAAAGGCTTGGGAATGAGAGATGAGTGTCCTATGTGGGGAACAGCAAGTAGGCCAGAATGGCTGGACCTAGTCAGTTTCGTGTCCTCTAACTTCATTCTAACACTTGAGGAAGAATGGAGGAGGCAGATGGATAGTGGGCAATAATCCAGCGATGAACAGAGATGGGGCAAAAGAACAAGGGATTCAAGAGCAGAAAATAGTATAGAGTTGAACTGGTTCCCTAATGGGTCAAGACTGCGAAGTGAAGAAAGTGAGGCCAGAGCAAGCTTGAGGGCCAGAGTGGTTGAGGAATTAGAGGTCACGACGAGGACAAAGAATAGGCTTAGAAAGAGTAAGGCAGGAAGTGTGCTGGAGCCAGATCACATTGGCTTGTGAAAGCCTATCGTTAATTTCTGTGTAAGGATTTATACTTCATGATGAAACCGGCATCAGTGCTTGATTACTTGTTTTGTTGTCTAAGTTAGAAAGTGACAAAGAAAATGTTGATGATGAAGATTAAACTTAAAAGTGTGTCATGGAAGGGATCAGGTGCTCTTCCTGGGTGAAGATCAGGGTACAAGCCAGGAAAGCAGTGACCCCACCTCTCCCCAGATCCGTGTGACCCCATCTTGGAAGCACTGAAAACTTCCAAACCCCCAGAACTAGCTCTGAAAATAGCAGGTCATTTAAAAAAAAAAACAAAAAACCTAATGCTTGAAATAGTGTTCCTCCACCACAGAGCCCAACTTTAAGACAAAGTTCAAAATCAAGAAATAGAGTAGAAAAATGAGCCAACAACAGAAAAAGAACATAAAAAAGGTACTATGGTAACAGAAGATCAAGACCGAACTCAGAAGAAGACAATGAGATGATAACAGCTACAAGTAACAACTCAAAGGGAAAAAGTGTTACTTAGATACAAGCCCAACAAGAATTCCTGGAAGAGCTAAAAAATTATTTTCAAAATCAAATGAGGGGGCAGTTAGGTGGCACAGTGGATAGAACACTGGCCCTGGAGTCAGGAGGACCCAAGTTCAAATCCAGCCTTAGACATTTACTAGCTGTGTGACCTTGGGCAAGTTACTTAGCCCCAATTGCCTTGCTCCACCCCCCCCCCCCCCAAAAAAAATAAATCAAATGAGAATGGTAGAGGAAATATTAGGTAAAGAAATGAAAGCAAAGGAAGAAAATTGTGAAAAGACAATTAACATCTTGGTAAAAGTGGCATCAAAAAATACCAGAGAAAATAACACCTTAAAATATAATTGGTCACATGGAGAAAGAGGTACAAAAGCCCACTGAAGAAAACAATTTCTT